ATGACCTGTCATGTTTACTTTATGGTTTTCCACAAAACAGAGCTTAAACAAGGATGAAAAGGTAAAATCATAACTGGCAAAGTCACTGTAAAATATAGAATATAAATTTAAATCCTCAGTGGCACTTGTGAATATAGATGACTTGGATGAATCACTTTTAAAATAAATCAAGATACATGCTCATTAACCATGTCAAAATAAGTTGATTTTGTTTCGGGTGTTTCAGCCACAGAAGTTGTTGAGATCTATATTAAGTACTAGAGGCCCTGGGCATGAAAATTCATGCACTGGAGGGGGGTCCCTCAGCCCGGCCTGCCTCCTCTCACAGACCAGGAGCCCTCAGAGGCAGGAGGTGACCTGGCGATCAGGGGAAAGCGATGCCCCATCACACGTCTGCTGCTTCCACTGCCGGCATTGCAAGCCTTGGCAAGCCCTGGTTACCTGCGCCTGTGGCGGCTCTGGGCGGCTGGAGGGCTGAGGGACTGGGGGACTCGAGGCAGATGTGCATCTTTGAGGGCACAGCAATCAATTAGCACATTCCCTCATTGGCTGTGGGCGCTGCCATCTTTGCAACTATGTGAGGGTCAATTAGCATATTCCCTTTTTTGTTAGATAGGATACCCTAGAAAAAGACTTAATAGTGAACTGTGCCCTACATTAACCAAAGAACTTATATGCATATATGCATAACCATTGGACACAGGCACTAAGGTGCTTTGTAAAGGTCTTGGAGCAGGGGCAGGGGCACGTGGGAGTGGGGGTGGGCTAGAAGGGTCAATGGGGGGAAAAGGAGAAATAGGTAATAATTTCACCAATAAAGATTTAGTTTTTTTAAAAAGTCAAACCTTTGCCTGAGATTATACTTTTCAATATAATTTTTTTTTCATTTTTTATTAAAGTATTATATGTGTACATATCTTACCATTGCCACCCCATCCCCATACATGCCCTCACCTCCCAGTATTTTGTGTCCATTGGTTATGCTTATATGAATGCATATAAGTCCATTGGTTGATTTACAATATAACTTTAAAATTTAAATAATAAACTTTATTAAAATAGGTTAATTTATTACCTACAAAAATATAATATTGTCTACCTCATATTTTATTTGTAAATATACATTATAATTTTTAAGTGTCAGCTAAAGTTTAATTTGGGTTTTGCATTGTGTGTATTTGTTTTACAATTCTAAAAAAGTTAATTTTTAGCTTGAAAACGTTAATAACTGAAGAATTCATAAAATATATAAACAGTTATTCCTGATTTTTAATTTGAGGAGCTTATAAAAAAATATAAACATCTATGCTTACTCCCTATTTCTCTTATTCCTGAACAATTCAGTCTAAAAGCCATCAAGTTATGGTAAGCAAAGTAGGTATCAATGTAGGGTGGAGATAAAGGCTGAAAGATATTAGCTTTGTATCGGGATTAGTCATATAAGACTATACAGGGTGTCCCGAAAAATGTTTACACAGTGTATATACAATGTTTATTAAAATATATTTCATTTTCATAATGTAATAGAATCTAGAGCTATCAGCTGTTAAGTATGTGACAGCATTATGTCTAAAATTACAATGTATATACATATCTTACCAAAATGTTTCACAGAGACACAAAGTGAGCAAATGCCAATAGATTGGCTCAGTGTAGGGCAAACCTTCAATTTGTAAAAAACACAGTATCTGCGAAGTGCAATAAAAAGAGATATGCCTGTACTCTGTACACACATCTAGTCTTTGGCATTGCCTACTGAGAAGAGGTAGTAAGAGCAACATCCCAGTAACAATGAGCACATCTAGTACCCATATCTTGGTTTCTAGATACCATTCTCTATTAAGAGGAACCAGAGTTCCTTGGAGAAATAGCTGGTTCCAGGAGCAGGGAAATGAGAAGTACAAGTTGAGCCTAGAACATTTTTAGTAAGAAAATACTCAAAGACTGCTGATCATGTCAAAAGGACACAAATACCAAGTTAAAGAGGCACACATCAGCCAGAAGTGGCTCCGTTCACCAAATCTGGGACAATTTGAACATCAAAATCCTATCTAATAAAAGAGTAATATGCAAATTGACTGTCATTCCAACACACAAGATGGCTGCCCCCATGTGGACACAAGATGACCATCACAAGATGGCCAGCAGGGGAGGGACCAGGTCTGAAAGGGAGGGCAGTTGTGGGCAATCAGGCCAACAAAAGAGGGCAAGTGGGAGGAACCAGGCCTGCAAGGGACGGCAGTTGGGGGTGATCAAGCCTGCAAGGGAGGGCAGTTTGTAGGGACTCAGGCCTGCAGAAGAGAGCAGTTGGGGAGTGTGGGGTGGGACCATGCCTGCAAGGGATGGCAGCTAGAGGTGACCAGGCTGGCAAGGGAGAGCAGTTAGGGGCAATCGGGATGGCAGGGGAGCAATTAGGCATCAATCAGGCTGGCAGGAGAGTGATTAGGGGGTGATCAGGCTGGCAAGCAGGAGCAGGCAGGCAGGCAAGCAACTGGGAGCCAGCAGTATGGATTGTGAGAGCGATGTCCGACTGCCCGTTTAGGCCTAATCCTACCGGGGTCGGGCCTAAACGGGCAGTCAGACATCCCAGATTGGAGAGGGTGCAGGCTGGTCTGAGGGATATCCACCCCCTTATGCACGAATTTCATGCGCCAGGCCTCTAGGAATGAAAATAAAGCCACAGGAGGCGGGCAGAAAATGAAAATTTGATGAATAAGTAGAAGAGAGTGGAAAAGACTTCCAGATAACTCCTTGATTCAAGTGATTAAAGTTAACACCACCATCTATGGCTCAAATCAAAATCATGTGTCACCTGATAGAAAGTATACTGCATCACATCAGTGTTATTCTTATCAAAGATACATAATTGCTCTGTAATCTTCAAAAGTGGCAAGATAATAAAAGACAAAAACTGACAAAGATCAGAGACTTAAGAAACTAGATGCCGCAAGTGATTCTGTACTGGATCCTTTTGCTATAAAGTCATTACTGGACAAATGGCAAAACCTGAATGGGATCTGAGAATTAAATGGTAATAATGTATCAACATTAATTTCCTGATTTGGGGAGGATATATTTTTGATATATAGGACGATGAAAGCACACTAAGATGTAAAGCAGAGGTGTGACAAATACATTTTCTGAAAGATTACTCAAGTAGCAGTATTAGGACTATGGTCTTAATATATTAAAAATATTTAAATAGCTTTTCAATCACTTGTCAAACAGTTTAGCAAATACAATGCAAATTTTCTAACAGTGTGCCATCCTAATGGATTTCCATTCAGAGTTCAAGACCTACTTAATCCCTAGTAGAGAGGAAGAAACAAAAATAAAAAATATCTTACTCTTCTCAATGGCTATTGGCACTTTTTGCATTTACAAAATGTATGGTGCATTCCAAAACTATGTGAAATATGTCCCCTTGCATTTTCAGTATTCATTACCATATCACTTTACAAAGCTACTCTTTGTGTTTAATATAAAGCTACATATTTATGGTAGTATAGAGCCTTTCAAAAGGATGTATGCAAAAAGATATATTTATAAAAGGCAATAAATTATTTTTCAAAAATTGCTTTCATAATTTGCTTGTTAAGGTTAGGAGGAACCCTAAAAAAAAAAAAAAAAAAAAACACATTTAAATAATTATTTTAGACTACAAAGAATTCCATAAGAAAACTATTTAAAATATATAGTATGCCACTATTTGTTCATTTAAATTCAACTTCTGGAAAGCATTTAAAAATTATGCAATAAAACCTTTTGCTGTTAAATATGCTCCCTCTTAAATCTGGGTCTTAATAAAATTAATGGAAAATAATTCTTGATATTGTATAGTTTAAAACTATGTGCAAAATATTTTACTTATTAAATAAAATGATATTATGTTCTAGGTTAATAATTATTGTACAAATATATAATCTTTTAATACATATGTTACTTTATAAAACCTTTAAATATTTTTTTCTGTAAAACTAGTTTTAATAAATAAACATTTACAGATAGCCTCTGTGGTAAGCTGGAGCAAATCATTCCAACTAATGATAGAAAGAATACTTTTGGTTCCCTGATTAAATAGAAATCCAGTATAAATTTTAACTTACTCTAGGACAGATAAATGCATTTAAGTGGTATTTTAAAAAAGGATGGTTTGATGGCTACATTACAATAGACAGTAAAGGAAGAACAATTTGTTTAACCCACAGAATGTCTTAATTCAAATATATTCAATATTTCTGTCAAATGAACCAAAGCATTAAAAATCTAGCTAATCACACACTTTAAAGTAACACAATAATCTTAAACTATAGATTACCACCACTTAAGGGTATAATAATGATATGCAAAAGACATAACTTTAATAGTTTATTTTATGAAATAAACTATTAAATGATCTTATTAGAAATGTGATCCTTCCTACTTAGCTAAAATAAATATCAGAAATGAATTTTAGAATATAAAAACTAGTTTAAAAAATACAGATCATATAAACATTCACAAAATACTTATTTATGTGAAATTGAGTCATCTACAAAATAAAATTGGATTTTACTGATTATTCTTTTAGTTAACATTTATACTCATGACTCAAGTCAGAATTTCCCTGCTAGTCCCTACTCCCCAGGTGTGGTAAATTAGCAAAGGGTGATTTTTTTGGCTACCATAGCACTATGTGATATGTTACAGTAATATAGAGAACATACAAAACAGATAAAATATTTTATAGAGGAAATTGATATAATTTAGTAGAGCTATTTATTCCTTAAGGGCAATAAAATTACTGTGGCAATACACACACACACACACACACACACACACACACACACACACATATATATATATATATATATATATATATATATATTAAATTGCATTAGATTAAAATGTTAACCCTTCATACCCCAAATCTCTTTAAAGTTAGGAAGCTGATGGTAGATATAGAAAAGCTATCAAAATGAAGAGAAACGATACTTTTCCTTATAGGCTTTCTCCCTTACCTTAGATGATGAAGAATCACACTCCTGACATATCCATCCATAGCCTGTTTGTTTAGGAGACTTTTTCAAAGGAGGATCCAAACAGCCAAAATGGTAGCACAGTCTACATTCATCACATCTGCAGGGTAAACAGATTTAAGGTATATCTAAATATTTTAGAAAGCATCTTTTTCAAAGACAAATAGCAAACAATTTCCCATTTGAATTTTATCATTGCTAATTCTACCTTTAGCTCACAAGATTATTAAATTAATGTTTATGACAAAAACAATCTACACCTAAAATAATGGTAGGAAAAACAAAATATAACAAATGATAAAAAAAAAATATCATTCAGAACACTTTGTAATAGAAATGTTAAGGTCATATGAATGAATATATGTGTTTAAAACTAACACAAATTTGATTTTGAACTTCAAGGATTAATCATTTTTCCATTAGGTAGCTTAAAAATATGATATGATACATATAATTCAAGATTATTAAATCAATTCACTACATTGTGATAATTCTAAAATTTTTTGAACTCTAAAGAATTCTAAGGCTACATACACCAATTTGTAATCATTCTATACAATTTATATCTCATCACTTTTTCTCCAAGTTAATGTAGATTATATACTTTCCAAATTTTATAGAATGCTATCACAATCTATAGCAAATAAAAATCATTCTAAGAACTAGATGTAATTTTCTCAAAATTTACCTGTCATTTTTTTCTCAGTGTATTTGGTTTTCAAAGGGCCTCCTAGTACATTTTAAATCTTATTAATAAATGTTCTATAGTGTCTTTGCCACCTATGATGTACAAAATCTAAAAAAACTATCATACCTATTCTTCGTTTCAGACAATCTCATCCTGCTGACAATGAAGAAAGATCTGTATTATTTCAGTGTCTTATAAAAATAAGTTTTTATCAGTTGGAATAACATGACCAAAATTGAACAACAAATAACAAAGATGTATACATCTTATAGAAAGACTTATATTCCTCCTTTTCTTTGTGTTCTCCTTTAAAGTAAAAAACAAACAAAAAGCAAAAAAAAAATTTTTTTCTCCAATCTGTCAGATTCTTTTCATACATTGTTTCTCTTACTGATTTAAAACTTTAAAAGTTGAGATATCCACAACTAAAAAACCAAGGGGGAAATTATAGGACCCACATTACTTGAATATATGCTAACACTAGTTAATAACCTTTCTTAGAAAAAAGGGGGAAGCACACAACACACAAACTTTTTTTTTTTATCACAATAGGATTATAAATATACATTTATACTAAATATTTCATATAATGTTACAAAACCCAATTTCATTTAAGGAATCAAATGTTCAAAACCCATTTAAGGAATCAAGTGTTTTCAGAAAAGTTAGCAACTTAGCTAAATTTTTTAGGTATAAAGAAGCTTAAAACACAATTATATGTCATAAAGCTTATGCATTTCTTCCTCTACAATATTCTCCTTATTAGACTCAAGAAATGCATTTGAGGTGAAGTAGGGGGGAGAGTTTACTGTGGTAATTCTAGCTATGGAAAAAAATAAAATCAAATAAAAATAACAGTACTTTAGTTACTCTGCCAGCATTATAAATAAACCATCCAAAATCATATTTGAAAGCAGTTAAAATTTTTAAATATCTGTGTTCTGACATTAAGAAATAATAGATAATAATAGCTAACATCAAATGTAATACAGACTAAATGACAAACCCACACAATTTGATGTTCCTTCTCCTTAATTTATTTAACTTTCAATAGTGAAAAATTCAGTTAAACATATAGATGGTTATGAGAACCTTTAGATTATAAACATTTCTGAGTTTATGAGAATGGAGAAATTTCCAAATAGTTGAGGCCATATTCCTTCAAGCAAACTAGTATTTCAATCATCTTTCAAAGGGAAATTTGAAAAGAATCACATTCTTTACTTCACGAAAATACATTAAACATAATTTGCACGCTCTTTGTCATCTCAGGGTCATGAGTATGGGTAACAGATGTTGCTATGTAGTGTGCCAGCCTTTTGTGTTTGCAGTGAGTACCATCAATCTGCCAGTTCTGTCTGAATTCCTGTATTCAACATTTTTATGTTTTCAGAGTCCTCACTTGATTAAAAAGTTTCAGCCACTGTTTTCTGATATTGTCTGTGTATTAGTCTAAGCAACATTTCCTCAACAGTAATTTATTATGGATTTAGAAACCAGACCACTAACCTCATTAAGACAAATTCAGTAAAAAGACACAAAAATGAGAATTTCTATTGAGTTAAGTATATGGACACATTTTCAGTAACTATATTTTTTGCTTAACTTTAGGTTTTTGGGCAATGTTCCTTACAGTTCAGAATGCCAATAATCTGGGCTCTTGATAGGTGAAGAGTTAGGTGTTAATGTCTTCCTAGCTCATATCAAATTACAACATAATTACTGCATATTTACTTCATAACTCTCATAATAACTTATAAATTAAGATTTTCATTGTATAATTCAAGTCAAACACTATGAGGAATATAAAAGTGAATCTTAATTTATTATTTTTTACCTTCATGTACGCAGGTGATTCTTGTTGGTATAGCTATGAATTTCCAGCTAATAAACTAAGAACAAGTTTGTTACATTGATATAGTTCCAATTTGTAGATGATTTCAGTTAATAGTAAAATCAAGTTATCTTTCAGCTCAAGAATAAATGCAAAAGGATAAAGTAAGGTTTATATGCTAGGTTTGTTAGAATACAATGTTGAAATATATGTCATTTGGAAATGACCTAATCCTTAATAATACTTTCAATAGTGACACATTTTAGAATGACTTAGTCTACATGTGGAGCTCTGATGTATTTGTGATGGGGTCCCGAAGTGAGGAAGAATTTGCTTGTCTAAATTAGGGGTAATACTTATCTCAGGTTATAGCTCACTCACCAATAAATAAAAAACTGCAACTCCAAGACTAAATTTAAAAAAGGAGTATTTAATACGCTTAGGAACTGCCAAAATCCAGGAAAGAAAAAAAATAATTCAATATTAAAATCCTTATCTCTGTTAATAAGTAAATATTCAAATGTAAGCTTTTTCTAGAAATGACTACAATTATTTCCATGAGAAAAAAAAAATCTGTTTTTTTTCTACGCTAGAATATTGAATTGAAGAAATCTTTATGTGCTGATAACAAAAATATACTGAATGACACAGGGAACTTGAGCAGAATTTTTAAGATTATACCACAGACCAATGTAAGAGATATCATTAAGAATTCTAGAAATCAAAGAACAATGTAAATGGTGAAAATAGTGGGTTTCTTATTTCATGTACACACACACCATTTTGTAAACCATAGCAAATTCTGTCAAAACAATTTCTGGCTATGTTACAAATTTATATCATTTTAAAAATTCAATATTTAGGAACTCATAAGAGCCTGCAATCATTATGCTACCTAAAAACAAAGTAGAGTTGAAGTAGTTACTGGTGAAATCATTATTGCTGGTCTTTACCTTTACTTCTTACATATTCTTGTAAATACATAATTACAGCACATAAATAGTACATATTTATCTAAATAAATAATGAATAAAATGTTTTTAAAATCTTTTGCAAAAGCAGTCATCGATCAACAAAAGCACAGTAATATAATAATATACTTTATTAAATAATGCAAATGTCTATGTAATAAAAACAGACTATTATACCAATAGCACAAATGTTAAATAGGAAGGAAATGTCTTAAAATATTCAAAGAGAATATAAAACGAGACAGTAAAGAAATACTATGAAGTTTTTAATAAAATGCAAACTAGATGCTTAAAGAAGTAACCTTTAAACATCTAATAAATAATGTACACATTAACACTATAGGGCACTCTAAAATTACAATTTTAAATGAGATTAAATGAATCCCATTTATAAAAGAAAAACTGATTGTTTAATTAGGTTCTTATTAAATACAATTTCCTTGGCAACAGATTAATAATGGATCCAGATAATAAAGCAGCTATATATATGGCCTTTTACACACTGATTCAACAAAATGCAGTGAGCAAATAAACATATTTCTATATGTATTTAAAATACTTACTTAGCACATGGTTAAGTATAGCACCCTAGACAAAGAAGAGGAAGAAAATGATTTATATTCATATGTCCTATGATCCATATAACAAGCAATCGATCATGTTTATCTGATTGCTGAGAATATACATGCAATTTAAAGAGAGTCAACTGATTTATTTCCTCCTGTGTCCAAGAAACAGGCTAAAAAGCAATGTTCCAAAGGGTTTCATTAACTTCCCTAATATCCCGTTGAAATTTCACTGGGAGAGTACACTAAATAACTACTTTTTAAACTAATAGAAACAATTAGTGCATCTCCTATGCATATAATTTGTATCAGATGCTAAAATAAATGTCAGGAAGAAGCAATATCCCCAACATGTGATTTGAAAAGGAATGTATGTTGTTGTTTTTTTTATGATCAAGTTGATCCATAATCAAGCTATTGTTTTATGTCATGAAACATTTTATTTAGATCCCTTCCAGGTCTATATGGAGTAAAATAAAATATTCTAAACATAGATACTATTACATCTGTTCACTTAAAAAACAACACCCTAAATACTAAGATAATTCATAGATTAGATTTTTTACTTTTCCATCATTTCCATGTAAAAATTCTATACAAGAAAGATAAAAAGAATTGGTCTTGAATATTAACATTACTTAAACAAAATCTCACTAGCAGCTTAAACACCTACACAGATCTGTCAACCAGGAGGGAAAGATTCTTTCATTGAATAGTAACCAATTACTGCAATTACTTATTTTAAAAGATGGAGAAGATGCAGGTGTATGGTCCATGAGTTAAATCACCTTTAACATAATACAAACATGCACAAAATTCTGCATTCTACAATATTAGAGTAACATTTAATATCAATAAAGACATTTTTCCTTTTATTTTACAATCTTAGTGTAATCCACTTATATAAGCATTTTCTAAACAAAATAACTAGAAAATGTCTTCATAGCATATTTCACAAATATAAGACTAATGTGAAGGCCTTACACATTTTTTTCATTAATGCCACTATGGACTTTTATCACAGCCAGTAATGAATGAAAG